TGGTTTTTTTGTTTTGAGACAGGGTCTCACTATGTAGCTCAGGCTGGTCTCGAACTCATAGCAATCCTCCTGCCTCAGCCTCCCGAGTGCTGGGATTACAGGCGTGCGCCACCACACCCGGCTTCTGGGTTTCTTTTCTTGATTTGTCCACTTTTTTTTTCACTTTGAGTGTATTGGTACATTTTAGATATACACTACAGTTGATTTGTCCATTTTTTAAGGTATGTTTCATGATTTCAAATTTACTACAAAATGTTTTAGTTAACTTTCCTTGTTTCTGAAACAAAATACTCAACATCCAAAGTTAAAGGAGGAAAGGTTTATTTGGCTTATAGTTTGTAAAGGTTTCAGTCCATAGTTGGCTGGCTCCAAGGCAGGGTGGCACGGCAGAGGGACATCACAGGAGAAACAGTCCATGGCAAAGCAGGGCAGGCAGAAGGGATCAAGCAGCAAGTAAGTGACAAGCAACAACTCGATCTCTCTTTCTGTCCTCTATATTTTGTCCAAGCTACCCTCGCTCTAAGGACAGATAGCGATCACACTTTTTTTTTTTTTTTTTTTTTTTTTTTTTTTTGAGACAGGGTTTCACTATGTAGTTGAGACTGACCTGGAACTCACTATGTAGTCCAGGCTGGTCTTGAACTTATAGCAATCCTCCTGCCTCAGCCTCTGTGTGCTGGGATTACAGGCGTGAGCCACAATACCCAGCAACACTCACACTCTCAATCCTAGCATCCCACCATGAATCAACCCCAACATCATATCCTTCATCCCAGCATCACACAATCCAGCCACCTCTGAAAAGCCCTCACCTGTGAGGACATCTCACAGGGAAACATCTACATATAAGCTATAACACAGAAGTATTTTTTAAATCAAAGAAGTGACTGATTTGAAACTATGTATTTAAAATTGTATCAGATATTTTTTTTAAAAAGTATTTTTTCGCCAGGTGTGGTGGTGTACACCTTTAATCTCAGCACTTGGGAGGCTGAAGGCAGGAGGATCACCATGAGTTTAAGGCCAGCCTGAATTGCATAGCAAGACTTTGTCTTAAAAAAAAAAAAAAGAGTTTTTCTTTCTGACTTCTGTGTCTATGCAGATGGCATTCTCACTAACTCAAAATATCTTAAGTGTGCCCCCATCTGCTCAATCCATCTTTTCTAATTAGCAAAATGTTTTTTAAGTTTCCTTCATCCATTAGGCCTTTTCCACCTTTTATATCTCTTCTTATAAAAATGTAGTCCAGTGACACTTTTTCCAGTCATTCCGGTGCTGAGTTGTATATATTCTTGTTTCCCCACTGAGAATGGGAGGCTTGTAGGACTAGGACTGTGGCCCAAGTTTAGTTTGCTTTGCTTTGCTTTCTTTTTCCTTGTTGTCCCAGACACAAAATAAGGTTCCAAAGTGTTCACTTGAATATACCGAGATACGCAATTTCATCATCAGGTTTGCCTTGCAGAAAACCACCCCCATCCGTTCCCAAGCTGACCTGAAGAAACTGCCCTTGGAAGTGACAGCCAGACCTTCAACTGAGGTAAAGCACGGATATGGGAGGGACTTGGATGTCTGTGGCTAAAATCAGTATTCTCATTCTCTGTGAACTTTTTTTTTTTAGGAACCCACTCGGAGACCTCAGCGTCCTCGGTCACCACCTTTACCTGCTGTGATCAAGAATGCCCCAAGCAGGCCACCTTCCCTGCAAGCTCCCAGACCAGTCACCCAACCCCGAAAGGCTCCTGTCATCAGCCATCCCCCAAAGCCTCCTGCTCTGGCAGCCCGAGTAGAGGCCAGTACCTCCAGGCTACTCCAACCACCGGAGGCACCCCGAAAACCTGTGAACGCACCAGTCAAGAATGCACCCCGGACCACGTCCCTGGTGCAGCCACTGTCATCATCTCTACTGCCCAACTCCAGGAGCTCTCGGGAGGTTACTGCAGCCAAAGTTATCAAGACTCCAGTGGTCAAGAAGCCAGAGCCACCTGTTAAACTCTCCCCCGTAAGATGCTTTGTCTCTTTGGTCCCTAGCCCATGGGCAGTGCTATGGGAGTGGAATTGCGTCATATCAAAGCTGTACTGGGGGAGCTGTAGGAAGGTCCAGATCTAAGTCTCTTCTGCTATACCTGAGGAGGGAGAGCCTAGGTAGCCGAAGGGACCTGGTCAGGGACACAGAGCAAGTTGATTCCTTACCTGGGGAACTCTTCCCTGCTCCTTGAGCTTTGTTCTGCCACAGACTTGAATCACCTCCACTGATGTCTGTGTGGCCATAGGGTGGCCTTGGTGGGCTGTGGCAGTGGTTACTGTGTCAGGGAATTCACAACTGGTCGGCCAATGTAAGCTGAGAGTAAACAGGCTTCTGTGACAGCTTTGAGCAGAGGTCCTCATGGTGCAGGACATGTATGCTTGTGTAAATGAGTATTGTCAAGCAGGAATTGAGAAGGGTACTAACCCCTCTCTGAATAGATCCCTTAGGACATACGAGAACGTCCTGCATGTTGAGAGGCAAACAGAGGCCCTCACATTCTCAATTTGCTTCTTACTCTAGGCTACCACCGGTCGTAAGCGGAGTCTTGGGGTCTCCGATGAGGAAGAAGCTGAGGAAGAGGCTGAGAGGAGGAAAGACAAGTGTAAGCGGAGCAAATTTGCTGTGAAGGAGGAGAAGAAGGAATCCCATGAGGTAGGGCTTGAGATGAGTTTCTCAGTGTCCCTTCCCAGGGTCTGCATCCTTCGCGGTTTGTGCTGGCTGCTATTGATGAACTGAGCCTTCCAGAAGCCTGACTGATCTTTCAAGGACTGTTGGTCACCTAGATGACCAGACCCCCATGTCTGACATTCTATACTTGACTACTATCTTGTAAGCCGGTGACTTTAAGAAGTGATAAAAATTGCAGCATTGAAAAACATAAAGATAACAGCTAATAAACCACAGTGTCCACACAAAAGTGTACCCTTCTGGGGACATAGGGAGGCTCCTGACAGTCTGTTTTCTTCACAGCTTTCAGACAGTGCTGGAGAAGAAGACCCAGCTGACCTCAGAAAGGCTCAGAAAGGTGAGTTTGGGGAGATTCCTGGTAGCCCAGATTGGAAATAGAAGTGGAGCCTTTGCTGGTAGCAGTTAAGTCTGAAGGCTTGGGGAGATTTCCTGGGCCAGGACTCTGCAGCAGCAGACCCAAGTCTTAACACAAGGCAGAATTCTAAAGATAAAAACCCTTTCATTCATGCTTGTACTTTTTATTTTCTGTGGGTTGGAGGAGTGCTAGGGATTGAACCCAGGTCCACTGAGCCACATTCCTAGCCCCGTTTTGTGGTTGTTTTTAACACTTAACTCCTTGGCATTCACCCATGGCAGTGAGCTCATCCACCTTCTTCTTGCCATGCCACTGACACATGAAGAAGCAAGACTATGCTGGCCAGACTGTGCATCCCTGGGATAGCAGGGGCAAGGACTCCTGTGGTCCTGGCTGAGTGGGTTACTGAGTAACCTGATTCCTTAATTCTCACTTTCCACATTTTCAGATAAAGGACTACACGTGGAAGTGCGTGTGAATAGGGAGTGGTACACAGGCCGCGTCACAGCCGTGGAGGTGGGCAAGAGTGTGGTGCGGTGGAAGGTGAAGTTTGATTACGTGCCCACAGATACAACTCCAAGAGACCGCTGGTAATGCTTTCTTCTGGGTGACCAGGATGACAGAAGTTGGCTAGGACAAGGGGAGGAGGGTCCTGTGCCCTGCTCTCATCAGTTTATTTGAAGAGGCCAGGACAGACATGACACAAACTGTTTCCTCCATAGGGTGGAGAAAGGCAGTGAAGATGTGCGGCTGATGAAACCACCTTCTCCAGAGTATCAACCCCCTGACACGCAGCAAGAAGGTCGGGAGGAAGAGACTGTGCGGGCTCAGCAGGCTGTAGCCATGGCAGAGCCCTCTACCTCTGACTGCATCCGCATCGAGCCTGACACCACTGCCCCAAGTACCAACCATGAAACCATTGATCTCTTGGTCCAGATTCTCCGGTTTGTTCCTTTTGTCTTCCTGCTCCGGGATGACATCAGCTCTCCACAGTTTTGTGCCAGTCTGAGTTCCCATCCCTGTCTTTCTTCCTTAGGAATTGCTTACGGTATTTCCTGCCTCCAAGTTTCCCCATCTCGAAGAAGGAGCTGAGTGTCATGAATTCAGATGAGCTAATATCTTTTCCTCTGGTGAGTCTGCCTGACCTTTGGTTTTACCCTTGCCCCACTGAGGGCTTGTTGTGATTACTGTCGTGATTGCTAGCACTAAGCTGCATGCCCCACTTCAGCCAGTTCCCCTTTCTTCTTTCTGCTGAAAGGAAGACTATATTGAGCAAAAGTGGTTTAAGCAGACAGCATGCAGATAGCCAGCTCTACCCTACCATAGGTGCTAGTGGCTTAGCCTCCATTATGAACAGCACGCCTGGTTTGATACTTTAAGGCAAGTACATTCCATTTCCTCTGTCCCAGCAGAGAGTAAATGTGTCCCAGGTAACAGCAAAGAGTTTAGACTGAAAACTTGAGACTGAGAGACGTAGAAAGCAGCTTGCAGCATGTAGAGATGAGCACTGGAGCTTGAGTAGTCTGGCAAATGTGACGTGTTGCCTCTTCCAGCAGGTCCTCTGCTGGACCTCATAGCAGGAGAGTCCTGTCTTTGGTGGCTTAAGATGGAGAACTCTGGGTTGTTATCAGATAGCTGGACATGAGGCCAAGAGCTCAGTGCTGTGGAAGTGGCGCCTTGGAAAAGGTGAGAGAGTGACTCAGTCCAGAGGAAACAAGGGCTTTGGCAAGTGGCTGCCTGTGTAAGTGAAGAGGGTTCTAAGCATGGAACTTACATGAACAAAGGCACAGGGAATCAGGGCAGCAGATTGTAAGGTGAGTATTTAGGGTAAGAGGAACCTTAGAGTAGAAAACAGTGCATCTTGAGTGACCGGTCTAATTATGCTGGCTTAACCTCTGTAGGAGTGCCAGCAAGCTCAGGAAATTGTCAGGCTGACCCATGTCTAGGGCAGGGGCTAAAAAGCCTTTTCTGTAGATGGCCATTTGACAGCCATAGGCAGTCCATCACAGCATGGATGTGGCTGTACAGGTTCTAGTGAAGCTTCATTTAGAAAAACAGGCAGTCTTGCAGGTGTAGTCTGCTGTCTCTACCCCTAAGGAGATATCTTAGATAGGAGCATGTTTGGGTAGGATAGATAAGTGGTAAACTCAGGGGCAGCGAGATTGGTTCATTTGTAAAAGTCACAGGTAAGAGGATGGGAGCCAGGGTGGTGGGAGTGGGGCAGTGGGTAAAAGAACTGTGTCAGAGGTTAATGCCAGATGTGTCACAGACTGGCAAGTCACAGCGAAGATGCAGAGTCCACATCTGCTGTGTGTGTCTCAGAACTGTTGAGATTAGTGCCGTGCCAGAAGTACCAACAGCATGTTTCTGGTAATGTGCAGTGGGGAAGCAGAGATGAAGGAGCAGCCCTAGAGGGCTGAGGAGGTCAGAGCTGAAGAGGGGGTCTGGGAGTCATGCCCATGAGGTGCGGTGTTTGTTAGGAATAACTCACTTTTCCAGGGAAGAAGACTAGAATTAAGAGTACAGAATTAGTATGTCCAAGATGTAGGGCCCTCGTGTGATAGTTGTATGCTTGATGTAATTTGCCAGAGATAGAAAGATGGGGGTGTCTCTCCTTTTTACTTTAAAAAAAATGAAATAAGGTAGTTGAAGAAACTCTGACCCAGAGAAGTAAAGTCTGTTGGTCAGAGGTGGAGCCCAGACCTGAAACCCACACTCTTCTTAGGATGGATCATGCTCTCCCCATAATGCCACCTTGCTCTCCCTGTGAAGGGAAAGGGCACGGCATTCATTGAGGAGTTAGAAGGTGGCAGGATGCATGATGGCATCTTCATAGAAGGCTCTACAATTACGCTTTTGCCCTTGTTTAGGCTGTGGGTGCTTTGCACATCTCAGGAGAACAGACAGTGAGGTTTGGCTGGCATCTTCTTGTGAGATAAAGGGGCCAGGCAGTCTCCCTGGGTCCAGAGTAGAGAGAACTTAACTCATATTTGTTGCTTTTGGCTTAAAGTTGTTGCCAAACTCAGCAAAGCCTGGCTACAGTGGAACCTCTGCAGTGAGCACGGCTGTTTAGCCCAAAGCAAAGTCAGTCTCAGTGTCTGAATCTAAAAATAGTATCTAGCTTATTTTTCTAAAAGGAGGTATAATAGAACTTTGACCTCCTGGTAATGACGTCTAAAATCACTCAAGCTTTTCTTCATTTAGTTCAGGGACTCAACAGACTCTTAAGTTCATTATGTCCCTACATTTGTAAATGCTGGTCCTTTTCTTCATCAGACCAGATCAAGAGTTCCCTGAAGTCCTCTAACATTTGCAGGGTTCTCTTTCGGCTCTGTATTAGATTCAAGCATCATTTTTTAAAAAAGCAAAGTAATAGCTGTTGTGGATCCGTGGTTGCCTAGAAATAAAAAGTTAAAAAAACTAGCATAAACCATGGTTGTCCTCATGACGTCGTATTCTCGATTTTAATAGTTTGAAGCTGGCTTGAATTTTATTTTACAATTCCAGGATGGTAGGTTTTGTTTGTTTGTTTTCTGGTACAGAATGTGATGTTTCTTTTGCCATCCTGGCTTAAGAGAGATAATCGTCTAGATTTTAATGAAGTCAAACATTTGTAGGTTTTGGTTTTTAAAGAAAAACAGCAGCTGGAAGTTTCTCGGTGCTGACAGTTTATACATCTTTATAAATGCTAGAGTTGGTCATGCTACAATCCCAGCCAGGACCTGTGGTTCTGAGTTTCTGTTCATCATAGTGACCACCTTGTTCTCAGTGATTCCTGATTAAATCATGTTATAAATTAGAGCTCAGAAAATGCACTTAGCCCAAAGAGATACTATGCAAAAAAATTTTTTTCCCATACACTGACATTTCATTTAACAGTCCATTTGAAATAGATATTTTGGAGGCTGGGGATTTAGCTTAGTGGTTCTACCACCTGCCTTGAAAGTGCAAGGTCCTGTGTTTGATCCCTAGTACAGAAAAAAGAAATAGATATTTTGCTACCTTTCAAAGTGTGAAAAGCCATCTGTCTAGGGAAGTTGCTAATTAACAATAGTACCCCTGGGCCAGGGATTTAGCTCAGTGGTTTCACCACCTGCCTTGCAAGCACAAGGACCCGAGTTTAATCCCCAGTGCAAACAAAACAAAACAATAGTACCCCTCTCCTTGGAGGTTTCAAGGCCTCAGAGATGATAGTAAAATTCTCTGATGCTGGAAAAATGCATACTTGCAGGCCGGGCATTTAGCTTAGTGGTTCCACTGCCTGCCTTGCAAGTGCAAGGACCTGAGTTCAAGCCTTGGTACCAAAAAGAAAAAAAAAAAAAAGCCTACAGAAGTCTAGAGGTATTGGATCTTGGTAGGTGCTTGATAATATTTGTGGAAGAGAAATGTTTTGGTCCTAACACTGCTGGAAATGACTTAAAGGTGGATTGCCAGGACCGGAGATTTAGCTCAGTGGTTCCTCTGCTAGCCTCGCAGTCGCAAGCACCCCGAGTTCAATCCCTGGTTCAAAAAAAAAAAAAAA